AAAAACCGGAAAGGCGTGCTGTCTACATACTACACGTTTTTATGTAAAAACATATTCTAAATTTATTATTATTATTATTATTATTATTATTTATTTTAATGCCAAAAAGTTTGTAAAAACTTTTTAATTTTTAAATCATTTATTTTAAAAACGTAAGATAAAATTATTTAATAGTTTATATTAGTTTAAATTAGTCTTCCTTTTAACTACCGAAAAACGGGAAAAAAAGGGGGAGGAAAGGATATTTCCAGGTATTTTCCCGGTTATTCAATTTAATTAAACTTTTTTTTTTTTAAATTAAAACACCAAAAAAAAAAATTTAACGTGGACGTAAAAACTAAAACAATGGCAACCGCTAATAAATGTACGACTGTAACTGTTTTTTTTATTTATTTCTTTTCTCTCCCCTCCCACACGTTAATTTTTCCCGACATCATTACTAACCCCGCCCAATTTTTTTCGACTACTCGTTTTCAACCAATCATTTACCCCCACGGGTTTATTTCCCCACCTATTATTCACTTTCGTTTTTATTTATTTTTTTTCCCCTAGCCCCTAAGCTCCTCCAACTCTCATTTTTCTTTTTCAATCACTGTCAATTTCCCCCCCCCCCCCCACACCATCGATGCGACCGATCCCATCGGTTTTTTTTCTTTCTAAGAAATTATCGTTGTAATTAACCGTTATCCGGAAATCGTTTCCGTCTTTTCCCCTCTCTCTCTCCCTTCTCCTTCCCCTCCTCGTAAATTCAAAAGACGACGGAGAAGAAGAAAGTGTAAAGGTTGTCGAAAAGTTTTTCATCAGAAAGTTTTCCGGGGTTCATTATCAATTCCTAAAACTTTATCAAGACTTTCTTTTTAGGTATTACAAAAACCAAATTAAAGCACTGGGAAAATTTTTTTCTGGAAAATTCCAGAATTTTTTATTTTATTTTTATTTTTTAACGATTAAAACAAAAACCGGGGAAAAAAAAAATTATGTTAAAAGTTTCAAATTTCGATTTTTGATATTTTATCTTAATCCAAATAATAATAATAATAATAATAATAATAATAATAATAATAATAATAATAATAATAATAATAATAATAATAATAATAATAATAATAATAATAATAATAAAAGATAATTAATTAAATCTCACATAAAAATCCTTTTTTTTGTTTCCAGGAGGTTATATTGTTTTATTCAAAAGTTATGGAGAAAAAAATTTTTTTTTTCCATTTATAATCGATGATAATTTTTTTTTTTTTTTTTGGAAAATCTTGAAAAATTTAAAAATAAATGATATGAAAAAAAAAAACCTAAATGAATCGTTTAACTGGAGAATTTTTCCGGAGGCGTTTCCAAAGAGTTTTGAACCGGAAAACTTTTTTTTTTTTTGTTTAATTTAAAAAACGTTTTTTTTTCCGGTTTTGAATTGAATGAATTTTATCATTTTTTTGCCTGATGGATTATCATTAAGGTAATAATAAACTAACTTACTTTATTGTTCTTCTGCCACGAACACGTTCCTTTTTTATTAAGTATCGTACATGTTAATTTAACATCTTCACCGGGGTTAACTTCCGTATATTCTGGTTGTTTGTCAAATTTTTGCAAACCCGACGTGAGGAGTAAACCTGTAAAAAAAAGAAAAAAAAATTACATCAAAAAAAAAAAAATTGGCGGGAAATTTAAAAATTCGAAAGAGTAAAAATCGAAGAAGAGAAATTTTTTTTTTTTTTTTTTTTTAATACGTGGTAGTAGATACTTTTTCTTTATTATTATTATTATCTTTTTCTTCCGTTTTTCCCCCTTCCCTTTACACCACCTTCCCTCTCTCTCTCTCTCTCTTCTTTCACCTTTTTCCGACCTCCTCATTTCTCTTTCAGTTTCCTCTTTTTTTATATTTGAATGAAAAAAAAAAAAAAAAAGGAAACCCGGATTTTAAACTCTTTGATTCAAATTCTTTTCCTTCCTGGATTTTTTTTTTTGAATAAAAGAAAAAGGAAAAAAAAAAGAAAAGGAAATAATTTTTTTTTTTTGATATTTTATTAAATTGTCCGTCGTCATTATATAGTAGTAAACCTTAATAAAAAGGTTCCAACCTTTTTTTTTATTTTTATAAAGAAAAATTATTTTTCCATTCATAAAATTCACGAGATGAATTTTTTTTTTTTTAATTAAAATGATAATAATAATAATAATAATAATAATAATAATAATAATAATAATAATAATAATAATAATATTTAAATAAATCTATATATAACGTCCGAAATACGTTAATCTCCTTCCACGTTATCGTAAAAATTTTTTAAATTATTCAAAATTATAAAAAAAAAAAAAAAAAGAAAAAAGAAAAAAAATTTTTTTTTTTTTCCATTAAAATCTTATTTAAAATTTTCCCACAAAGATAAAAAGGTATTTGCACCTGTTTTAAGAATACAAACGGGTGGGAGAGGGAGAGAAGGGGAGAGAGAAAAAGAAGAGAAAAAAAGAAGAAAAAAATGTTTATGCAAATGATTAGATAAAAAAGGAAAAAAAAGGATTTAAAACGAATGCGTGGAGTTAAAAAAAAAAAAAGAAGTAAAATGAAATACAAGAAAAGTGAAAGTTAGAGGATAACGTCAGAGAGAGAGAGAGAGAGAGAGAGAGAATGAAAACATTATTTCGAATATAACTTATTTTAAAAATCGCGAGGGGGAAGGGGGAAAAAAAATAAGAAGAAAACCTTTTTATGCTTTGCTGTTGAAAAAAAAGGTTTAACGGTTTTTTTTTTTTTAAAAAAAAGGGGGAAGAAAAAAATTCCAGGTTTTTCCAGAGGATTTTTATGCAAAACGATAAAAGATAAAATCTTATTAATCCCCATTTTTGAAAAACCCGCGTTGAGTTTACACGAAAATATTTTCATATACACACGCACACAACAGATAATTTTGTTTATTGTTTTTTTTTCTTCTTCTTCTCCAGATTTAATTAATATTAATTTTTATCGATTTATTGAAATCCCCTCATCTCCTCCCCTCCTCCCACACTACCCCCACAAAAGAAAAATAAAAATCTTTTATTTTTTCTAGAAGATCAACGCGTTATTTAAAAAAAACGTTTTGAAATTTTCATTTTTTATTTTATTTTTTTCCGAATCTAATGCCACGTTAAAATTTAAAAATTTTACGAAATACATTTCCTTCCGTTTTCTAAATTTAATAAAGTAATAAAAAGTAATAATAAAAAAAAAACGTGGAATAAGAAATAAACAAAAATGATTATAATAATTTTTTTGTTTTTCTTTACCACCTCCCACGTACTCGCCCCTCATCCCCGCAGCACTCACTTTAATTTAATAATAATTTTTTTTCGATGAGTTTTTCATTTTTTTTTTCACGTTCGCCTACTTATAAACTTTCTTTTTTCTTCTCCAGTTCTTATTATTACTGGAGAAAGAAAAACAAAAAAAATTAAATAAATAAAAAAAATTTTTTTTTTTTTATTTTTCTACCTGGAAATTTTAGTAAATGGCAAAACTTTTTTAATTTTATTCGTTGAAATTTGATGATCGTGAATTTAAATTTTCCAGAAAGTTCCAAAAAAAAAATAATAATAAAATTATTATTATTATTATTATTATCATTTCACTCGAATCCAATTTAAAAAAAGAAAAAATTTCGTATATCGATAATTTAATTAATTTTTTTTTCTTTTTCTCTCATAACTCTGGAGAAAACGGGAAATGGAAAAAGAAGGGGAGGACGAAGGGGGAAGGGGGAAGAGACGAAGGAAAAAGGGAAAAAAATATTAACACCCGTTTTTCTAACTCGCACTTTTCTCACGCGTAAGGGTAGAGCAATAATGAGAAATAACATAAAATAAAGTGGTTTTGCGTCGATCGTGGAACCAGAAAGCAAAAAAAAAACTGGAAAAACCCTCTGGAGAATTTTTATTATAACCTAAACAAAAGATGAAAAAAGGTAAATGAGTTAAAACAATTTTCCAGACACCGCAAAAAAAAAAGAAAACTCTCAACGGTTAAATTTTCTAAAATTACGTTTTTTTCCTCCCTCCTTCATTTTTCCTTTTTAATGTCAACTTTTTTAGTCCTTTACCCTGTGTTTGTTTACCCTCTCCCCTCTCCACTCCTCTCATCGATAAATAATAATTAATTTTTACGTGAGTGCGTGTGCGGTTGTACGCATCAAAATAATCCCTTGTCACGTTTACGCGGTCGAAATAATATTTCAAGTTGGAAAAAGCAGACGACGACGAATCGTTTTTTCTTTCCAAGGGAAAATAAACTCGGAAAATTCGTGTGATAAATAAATTTCGTGGCATTAGATTAATTGATGAATAAATACATGCACGTTTTTTTTTTCTTTTTCTTAAATTTTATTAATTTTGAAAAAGGTAAGAAGATTTCATTTAAAAAAAAAAAACTTTTAATAAATCAATTATTTAAATAAATAACCGGAAACGTTATTGCAAAAAAAATAAAATTCAGGACCGTATCTTAAATTAAACGTAAAAAAAAAATTTTCTTTTTAATTAATTAATTAATTACGACGATGTTTCTGTTGTTAATAATAATAATAATTTTTTTTTTTTTTTCGTTTCGACCGAATAAAAACAAACTGTTGCTTTCACATTTTTTTTTTCACGTCTCCTTCCACTTTTTTTTTCAGCTTTGTAAGAGTTTTATAAATATTAATATTTATAAATTTTTTAACTTTAACAATTTTTTACCTTTTCGTTTAACATGAAATAACGTAATATTTTATTCTTTTACCACGTTTAAAAAGAAAAAAAAACAAACAAAAAAAAATTTTAAAAAAAAAAAAAACAAGAAAATCATACGAATTATTATTATTATTATTTACGATAAATAATAAATCATTAAAAATTAATTCTAATGACACGATTAAATTTTTTAAAAAATTAACACACGCAAAATTATTGAAATATAATTCAATAAAAAAAAAAAATTAAAAACATTCAAATTCATAATAAATTAAATTTTAATAAAAGATTTGATTTAAACCATAGAGTAACAAAACAACAACAACAACAACATAAACAAACCACAGACGTCAATAAAAAATTTTTTATTTTTTTTACACGCGATTAACGAACGAACGAATCTCATTACACGTTTTTTTTTTTTACTCTCACCTTTTTTAAAAATCTTATTAGAAAATTTTCCTTTTTTTCACGTAAAAAAATTTCATTCATTCGCGATAATAATAATAATGATGATATTAATAATGATGATGATAAATATTTATTAAAAGGGTTAATCACGTTAATTAAGAGTCAATTTTTTTAATAAAAAAAAATGATTAATGAACGTTAAACACCATTTTAATTAATGTTTTAAACAAAATAATGTTTTTTTTCCTTTCCTTCCTTCCACGTTTTTTTTTTTTTTTAAATTTATTTACACGTGAAAACATTTTTAATTTTATAGACTATATATATATTTTATAGACTATATTTTTCTTTAATGTTTTTTTTTTTTATAAGAAAACAAATTTCTTTGTGATGCTACAAACACGTGTGTGTGTGTGCGTGCGTGATAACCAATTCTTGTTATCATAATTCATTTCATCGAAAAAACAACAAATCGATAGTAATAATAATAATAATAAATATAGTTTTTTATAGTCGTTTGTTGCTTTTTTTCTCTGGGGGAAGGGGAGAGAGGGTGAGAGAGGAAGGGAGTCTTTTCCATTTCGTAACGAATTAATTTTCATTTTTGGTACATCCTTACTCGCTCCTTCTCCTTCCCCGCTTCCCTCTTTCCACTCCCACTCCCGGTCCCTCCCATTTTTTTTTGTTACTTCCTTTTTAATTTCCTGATATTTTTCATTATTATTATTATTTTTTTTTTTTTAAATTTAAAAAAAAAAAAACCAAATTTATTGGGTTTGCGGTTACTTTTATATTTGTTTTTGTTTTTTTTATTATTGTTAACGTTAGCGTTATTTTTGTCGTCTGCTTTGGTTTTACCTTTTTGGGGTTTTTAAGCTTTTAAAATAAATAAAAAAAAACTTGGGGGTGGGGGGAAAGGGATGAAAATTTATAATTTTTTTTTTTTTTGTTTGAGAACGCGCGTTTGTTGTGTTTGCGTTTTTTACGAACCTTTTACGATCGTAAAAAAAATTTTTTTTTTTTGTCATTTTATGGTTTATGATTTTATTATATTTTTGCATTTATTCTAGAAAACCTAGAAGCAGAAGAAAATAATAATAAAAACATGAATTATGTAATTTTTATGACGCATTTTTTACTAAATCGAAAAACAAAAAAAAAAATGGCGGCCACTGCTACTGCCCGACGACAAAAACGATGATTTTTTTTTTTTCATTTTTTTTGTGCGTTTTGCGCATGCGTACGTGAATTTTTCCTGGAGAAAAAAAAAATTGTTCCAGAAGTTATAAAAATAATATAGCTGTTGTAATGTGGCATAAAAGAACTTTTTTTTTTCTTTTTTTTCTTTTAACTAACAACACGTGTGTGAACTTTTTATATATTTAATTGACTTTTTAAGTTTTTCCACCGGAATAAAAATATAATTATTATTATTATTATTACTATTATTATTTTTATTATTATTATTATTATATAAAAAAATATCAATTTTTAAACTTTTTTTTTCTCCTTTTTTTTTATTTTCCTTCGATTTTCTATTTCTCTTATACACGCATTCGTTGTACGTTTTTACTCATTTTTTTTTTTTTTAAATTAAAAAAGGAAAAATCGAAATTTCTAGAAAAAATAGGGTATATGGGGTAGTTGAAATGATTTAATGCAAAAGGTTTTAGAAAAGGAAAAGAGGGAAAAAAAAGTGACAAAAAGTTATGATGGGTTAGAGAAATTACACGCGA